AAAAGTATTGGTTGTCTCGGACAGGTCCTGTGCTGCTTATTGTGTCCTAAGTCCTGCGTGTGGCTTTTTCTGTCTATTGTAGGCGGTTCCGGGTAATGACTAGCTTGAGGAGCATAGAGGAAGTATCTTCTTCAGTGGACAATTGTGTCCGACATCCGGTCCTTAGGCATGTCACGTCTCCTGGTATTGTTACCAAGTTCTATCCCTCTTGAGTCTGTTGATACGGTGCCTGTATGTTTCCCCTGCAAATTCTTGGCCTTTCTCTGTCGTTCGCCCTCCCTCCCATGTTGCTCTCCGTCTGTCCTACGTGTCGTGTAGTGATATAGTTTGGCTTTAGTGCCTACGAGAGTTATGTCTTCGTGGTTCATCTACGGTCTGGGAAGTGGGGTGGAGGGGTGGAGTTAGTCAGTTTTGTGTGTGTCGGGGGGGTCTTACGTAACTGGTCTTTACTGTAGCTATGCGTCAGTCAGTCAGGGGTGGGGAGGGGGTTGTGCCGGTGCGGGGGAGCCCCCACTCCCAGTCTGGGCATCCCTTGTGGCTCCATTTACTGTATATTCCATCCATGGGAACCAGGTTAGGGCACATTTGTCCGAGCGTCCTGGCCGTCATCATTTCCATGCTGAAAATCATTTCCACTCTGTCCACCCATTGTTGGTGGGTGGGTGTTACCGGGCTTTTCCATAGCGTGGGAATGAGCGATTTTGCCGATGTGAGTAGATATATGATGAGGCCCTTTTTATAGGCCTTCGCGGGTGTGCTTGTGTGGTTCAGCAGTAGCGGCAGTGGTTGAAAGGGGATATCTGTCTCGGTGATGTCCTTAATCGTCTGGTGTATCATTCGCCAATACGGTTCAATGCGGGGGCAAGACCAGCAGATGTGGATACCAGAGCCTTCTTCTGCGCCGCACACCCAGCACTCGCCGGGGATTGACTCGTGGACGTGTCAGAGAATATCTGGGGTTCTATACCAGCGGGTCAATATTTTGTAGTTGCATTCTTGGAACTTTGAGCTTATGGTCCCTTTATGTGTCAGTTGGAAGATTTTTTGCCATTCTAGTTCCGAGAGTTCGACCCCCATCTCCCTTTCCCAACGTTCCGTGAAGCCTAAGGGGCACTTATCTCCACTGCTCTGTAGTGTGGAATATAGATGCGTTACTCCATGCATAAGGTGCTGTCTGGCCGCATATAGTTGTTCTAGGTGGAACAGTGGACGATGTAGGTGGTCCTTGCCTGTGATCGTGACGACGTAAGTTTTTAGTTGGTGGTAGTGGAATTCATCGAGTAAGCTTGGTCTGCGGTCTTGTAGCAACACAGCCAGGGGCTTGAGTGCCGATCCGCTGCACCACTAGTGCAGGTGGACCCAGTCCGTTACCCCAAAGTTCTTTAGGTCGGCCGGAGAGAGCCCCCCTGCTAATTTCGGGTTATTGGTTACGGGTGTGAGTGGGTTTGGCGATGACGTAAGCATTTTGGAATATCGTATGCTACACCAAACCCTCAATCTATCATCGGGTTGCCTGTTCGCAATTCCTGGAACGTTGCTTCCCCCAGCCACAACAGGGCTGGTATTTTACCTCCCTGGGCTTGATGTTTTTCCATATCTACCCATTGCTTCTCGCTTGGGGTAGTGTGCCAGTCGACCAGCAGGTGCAGGTGCGTAGCCTAGTAGTATGTGATGACTGACGGCAGTCCCATGCCTCCCTCGCTCCTTGGGCGTTCCAGGATCGTTTTCCATTTGCGCTCAGGTTTCTGATTCCACACGAACTGCCTGATGGTTGTCGTTAGTGACTGAAAGAACGTCCGCGGGATGCTTGACGGTAGCGTCTTGAACAAATAAAGTATTCGGGGCATAACATTCATTTTAATGGCATTTATACGGCCAAACCATGATATATATTGGGATGTCCAGCGCTTTATGTCGTGCTGCAAGTTTGCGAGTAGGAGTTTGAAATTCATGTGGTAGGTTTGGTGGTCCCCCTTTTATACCCTTCGAACACTGACTACCCCTGCCTCGTTAACCTCAAAGGAACAATGAAGTCAAGTGCATTCCCTGGGTGGCCGCCATTTATTTAACCAAACACATGCTCGAGTGAATGGTGGTCATTTTGTCTCCCAACAGCAGGCAGCGCTAGATGGTTGTCGAGTGTCTGGAACTCTGGGATGGCTAAGTGAGCCTGCGAAACTGCTCGTTCCTTTCCCAGGCGAGTTAGGAGAATGGCGTTCTGGAGATAGGAATTACCGAACAGGGGGGAGAATTTGTTCCCTAATAGCCAGGGGGAGCTGTGAGCCAAAACCAGCCAGATATTCGTATTCAAGTCTGAGTTGGTTCGACAATTTGTGGTTCCAGAACAGACTAAAGGCATATTGTTTGTCAGTCGAACAAACTACCGAACAGTGAACCCACCCAGGGGAGTCATGTGCATCCAATTGAAGGTATTCACACTTAGAAATTGCAAGATTCTAAGTGGTCGGATGGGTGGCCGTCATTCGTATGACCAAACATGTGGTGGCGGCCATCTTTGTTCACAAACAGACAGCGGTGCTTGCTTGTCGAGTGCATGGAACTATAATCAGACAATGGACGGTGCGAACTACAATCCCTTTATAGGTGAAGGGAAACGAGCACACAAAGAGCAGCATTCGTATAAAAGAAACTACCGAACACAGGGCACACGACCCCGTGTTACATGAACAGTTCACTTGTTATTTTAATGGTGAATACTCCCGAAAGAAGACCGATCAAAGCCTAAAACCATCTGGAACTATTTTGGGGTTTCACCTCGTGGTTGACCGGTCCAAACTTCATTTGAATGGCATTCCTAATCTACCAGATGGATCTAAGTGATATTTCGACAGAGTGGGCGCTCAGGTCCCAGCTATTTGGTGAAGTATATTTAGTGGAGTTCTGAAAAATATTAATGTATGTTATGAAGGTATAAAATATTGTATATTTTCTGTACCTGGGAGATAATGTAATTAAAGAGTTGTCCTTACTCAATTATCTCCCAGGTACAGAGGGAAATGTTACTTTGTCCCCTGTCTCCATCAAGGTCCACCAGTGGAAAACCCCTGCAATTAAATTCAAGAAACCCCTTGCATGGGGAGTTGCATAAAAGCCAGCAGTAGCTGAATAAAAATCAGTTGACTCCCAAAATTGTGCATCGTCTGGTTATTGGGAGATTGGGATTGTATTGCTGTACTGCACTGCTATTTGATGTTCTATAGTCTACCAGCAGAGATATTGATTTTAATATTGCAGCTCCACTACAGGAGCGTTCATTGGTGTTCATGCAGGAACCCCCAAAAAAAGACCGGCTGCTGACCCTTTTCTTGTGAAACTATTCTGGGTTATAGCCTCGTGGCCGGCCAGTCAAAACTTTACCCGAATAGCTATTTACCGAACAGATCTGAGCATTATTTGGACAACCTGGGCCCTCAGATTTGGGCTATACTGGGGGAATGGGCTATAATTACCAGATTTTACTACTTTCATGACGTAAAGTCATGATTTTATTAAGGACATGGAGGCAAGTATTACGCTTTATCTCTTTCTTTATTCCTTAGCAGCAAAGAAAGGATATTGAAATATTCTTAGAAAAAAAAACATAACATGTACCCAATGGGTTAACTACACTATAACATATTATCCAATGATAATGCTCCTTGTACCATATTGTCCCATGTGACCTTAAGCCACCCCTCTTTCCTGATGATGCCGACGAATATCCCATCAACACAGAACCGTAGACTTAATCAAACGTGGAGAATAAACTGTGCTCCCTAAAATGGAACCATAGAACTTGAACTGAACTGTAGAGCAATGCTCCCACTTTCCATGAACCACTTGTATCGATGTAGGATACCAATCATGAGGCTGGAAGAAACAGAGAAACACGTGGTAAAATATGACCTTGATTTGTATTCATATATATAAATATATCCATATACATCCCCCATTTTTTTATTAACATCTGTCGTTTCGACCTAATCCCAAATTAGGGTAAACAAACGTCCTCAAAATTGTCATGAAGTTAAATACCCATTAGTTACTCAGGGAGGGTGCAACTTACCTTGTCTGGGATAATACTCGCCTCCGTGTCCTTAATAAAATCATGACTTTACGTCATAAAATTAGTAAAATCTGGTAATTTTATTTAAGGACACGGAGGCTCATATTATGCTACTTCAAAGCTGTGTTACCACCGTAGAAGAAAAATGTGGAGTTGGATGAAAATAGAACTCCCGAAAAGTAGATTGTCGGGACCAATCAGCAGAATGTAGGAGATCCGCCAGTCTACATCCCAACGAGTAGGCTTTAGATGCCATAGCACCTCTAACCTCTAGCACCTCTGACCGAATGTTCTCCGTACGTGGATGTGTCAATGCCAGCTGACATCATAATCCATCTAACTCCTCTACAAATTGTAACTGTGTAAACAGGTCGATGTGGAAGTCAAAGAGCTAAAAATTATTCCGGGTACAAATTGTCCCGTACTGAGGATGTCCTGTCTTCATCTTCCTTCAGGCAATCCACCGGACATAGGTTGATATTATGCGGGAATGACGGATAATGAACCAAAGTGGTAGATGTCTTAGTACGTCTGGAGATGTTAAAGGTGACGCCATCTGGAGTAAAATAACATGTTGTAATATCCAGTGCCCGAACATCTGAGACACTTTTACAGGAAATCAGCTTAGCTATGAGTTGTTTGAGTGAAAGGTCTTTGTTCTGAGGCCAACCATCAAACAATCTGAGGACGATGTTAACATCCCACACCGACGAATATTTAGGGCGAGATGGTCATGCAAACCTGATGCCATGAAGTAGTCAACATACTTAGGGGTGTTGGCCTGTTGGGGATCCATTCCAACCTTGGTGGCTTGCCGATATAGCCGATCTATAGAGATTCACCGTACGGTATGCCAATCCATGTTCGAAAAGTTCTCCTCTTGTTCCGAGTCGGAAGATTCACTGAGGGCTTTTGCCCTCTTCCAGGTCCTCACCGATTTTGCCAGGTGGGGGGCTCTCTGTTGTGGTGTAACCACATCCTCAGTGACAGGACGTACCCTGCCCGTCTCAACAGTTTTGGAGGACTCCTCGTCCATATGACGAGATTTCTTAGCGGATTTACGCCCACTAGGGGCTACCGGCTTACTCTCTGGGGGATTCAGAGCCATTAGGGCAGCGGCCTTTGGGCGGACAGAAGGGCTTGAGTGACGGAATGTGACAGGGTATCTGTCATAGTCCCCCTGGCTGTGAAGATGGCGTGAGACACCAACTTCACCATCGTAGCATCCAGTAGCAAATGAAACTCCTCAGAGTTAATTTGCTCTTGTGACACAACCTCCAGTGTAGCTTGAGGGGTTAGTTTGGCAACCACCACCGGTGCGGAGATTTTAGGGGCACTAGAGGAAGAAGCGCTAAAATTCTTCTGGGACTGCATGTTTAATCAACTAAATAGAGATATGGTATAATTTTATTGTTAAAAAAAAGGGCCAGAAAAAGGCACTAATGACAACAGTGCACAACAATAGAAGCAATTTAACAAGCTCACCGAGTATTCCCTCAGGAATGAGCCCTGGGGGACACCGGGAGCTTGCCCAGCAACTCAGTGGGCCAATCAGAGTTGGCCCGCCCCCCAGAATGCTTGGCAAATGGCCACGCGAAAGCACAGCAAAACTGCCAATCAAAAGATGGCCGCCGCAATATGCACGAGCAAAGTGCACATGCGCGGGCGGCGAGGTTCATCCTCACACGATGCAGGAAGCCGCCGGTACCATGGGAATGTCAGCCCCAGTGGAGAGGCTCGCAAATAAATAAGCCAACGAGTAACAGGAGGGCATAGGGAGGTGGAGGGAGGCTGGGTGAGGGAAAGAGATGGCACAGAGTGTCAGGTAGAGAAAAAAGGCAGTGAAGCCACAGAAAGACAGTATTTAAAACATACCAAAAACAATAAGAATGTTAAATATACATAAAGGTATACATAATATATACATAAAGAATGTCAATATACACAAGTTAAGTGTGGAGAAATATGGAAAAGTACTTAGCTGAAGAGGCAGCAGCAAAGAAAGAGGAGTGGCTTAAGGTTACATGGGACAATATGGTGCAAGGAGCATTATCATTGGATAATATGTTATAGTGTAGTTAACCCATTGGGTACATATTATGTATTTTTTTTCTAAGAATATTTCAATATCCTTTCTTTGCTGCTAAGGAATAAAGAAAGAGATAAAGTGTAATACTTGCCTCCATGTCCTTAAAAAAATCATGACTTTACATCATGAAAGTAGTAAAATCTGGTAATTATAGCCCATTCCCCCAGTAACTGGATGACACACAGATCTGGGAGTCAACTGAGATTTATTGAGCCACAACTAGCTTTTAATGCAGAGACCTCCAGCATAGTGTCTCCATTGGAAATAGCACAAACCCCTCCCAGGCACCTCTGTGAGATAATTGAGTCAAACGAAGGTTAACTCAATTATCGGTTACAGGAACTAATACAAAAATACCCCCCAAAAATATTAAAATATTACAGGAACCCCACAAATCTTACACCCCCAAATAGCCCAAATTATCTTAACACAATAGTATAACTTAATTATCACAGGCAGGAAAATATAGTATTATAAAACATATCACAGGGACCCCAAAACATGCAATAACCCCATAAAAAATATATCCTCGAAACCAGGGGATCTGGGTGGCCCACATATCCAAAATTCACACAGATCCGTTCAATAGTTTGGAAGATACAGTTTAATGCAGATTCCGCAGAACATATACAGGCTATATGAAAAATAATTACTGTTAAATGTGTCCCCTGTTCTGTAGTTTATAACTACTGAACGATGTCTTTGTGCACCAAATACCGGCGAGATGGCACCGTGTAGAAAAGTCCAAACAGTGTCTGTGAGTTAAAATGGCCGCCATCCATTGTTCTCACCATGTGCTTCATCCATTGTTCTCACCATGTGCCTCTGATACATGAAATGGTGGCCACCCAGTAACTCCACAGTTTGTCTGGTAGTCTATCCAGCCGGACCAACAGATGAAACACATGGGGAACAGTGCAACAAACAAAGGGAATCATAAAAAATATGGACAATAGTCATATTTGTGCACAATCTCCAGTTTTGTCACAGGGCACAAATAGTGTTTTCAAATGCCATATATCCCAGGGCCATAGTCAGAAGGTAGGAGGCGGGCAAGCAGCCCCCTCCAAGAACACGTGGCGAGGTCTGTTCCGCCACAGGCTGCATAAACAAATGACTTCTAAATGGTGACACTGCGCTATCTGAACAAATATATCTCACTTTTTGTTGTGTGAGTGTTTCATTTTACAAACATGTATACATTATATTAGTGATTTTACCCTAGGTTTGCTTTTGCTTTGTGTGATGGACACCCCGATGGGAAGAAGAGTTTCGCCACCACAGATGTTCTTTTCCCCTTAGTGTGAGTGGAGCTGCAATAATCCTGGAAGCGATAATCCTAAAAAGCAGTGATAAAGCTGTTCCCTAAGAGCACAAGACGAGGCTCTGTGTTGAGGGTAAGCAGGGGTCCGTTTATTTGCAGCCACAACTGGCCTTATATGCAGGTTCCCATGCAAGGGGCACTCCCTCCTGGAGAGGAGACTACAGTAAAGCCATACACACAATTGCATTGGTTCTCAGGTCCAGGACACTCCCACACAAAATAGGCCAATCCCTCCCCTGTGCCTGGGAGATAATTACTTGAGTACAAACAATGTATTTTATCCTTTGAAAGTGCTGCACTATGGTTTTTATTAATTATTTTTGCATGTATCTCTGACTATTTGGAAGATCTACCTGAACAAACATTATCACCAATATTTTGACAAGATCAACATACCACCCACATTTGTGAGTTGAACCATGAAGCAATAGCATATTTTTGGTGTTTTAACTATATTACACTATTTCTTTGTCTTTGTACAATCCTTTTGTAGATATTTTGTTGTATATTTGTATATCAAAGTTTTTAGAGGATTCCTTTTGATCTACAAAGCTGTGCAATTGAAAAGATGTTATGTGTGTGTAAGACAATAGCACGGCACTTTACTCGTGCATGTACCATTAAGTACTGTATTAATGTGGGATGTATATTTATAACTGTGTTTTACACTTGTTTACCTCGATAGTGATTATTTCACTGGATAATATTTTTACACTTTTCTAATAGTTCTGTTTGTCTAGTGGCCTTATTTTATTCTATTGAGGGGATATTTGAGAGGGGTATTCTGAGTGGGAGCAGACAATGTGAATGCACTGTGTCTTTATTTGTTTGTATGTCACTGAATAAGAGCACAAATGATAATACAAAGAAGAAAATAAATAAAATCTGAAAACACACAATAACTGTCAGAGTAATAGAAGAAATAGCGAGTGGATTATTGTCTACCATTTCCATAGTCTTTAAAAATAATAAATATTAATACACAAAAATAAATGCAGATAAACAATTAACGAATAAAAAGCACATTTAAACAATATCAGACATACTAATCTATTATAGCAGAGATTTGATAGAAGACAGTCCAAGAAGAGCTCATTTTAGAGTTCGGTTTACTCCTTCTCAGCATAATGAGCCCACGTCTCGTTACTCCAATATATTATGTGCCAACAATAACGATGCTTGAGCCAGGATTCTGCATTATTGCCGACCACAAACAGAGGGAAACACATGCTACAACAAGTCCCTCTCCAAGTCGCGTTGCAAAGCAGCTGCAAGCAGCGTGAGAGCAGAGCTAACACACGCGGACACACTCACTGCAAACTGACAATAAAGAACATTACAATATATCACATAGAATAAGTGATTTATGAAATTATCTTCGTTTATCGAACTTTACTTAAAGATGCCCAACTACTGTGACTAAACATATTGATAGACACGTCTAATTACCGACCACTAGTCTACTCGGCTGTAGCCCCAGAAATTGGAAACATGTATCAAACAGTGAACACAGTAACTGATATCAATAACATGTCACAGAAAATACACTGCGTTCAGGAATTGACCTTTATCAGACGTATTCATTAAAGTGAGAATTAAATGGTTTAACTTAAGATGAAAAATTCTCGAATCCAGCAATCTTACTGTTCCGCTATGTTGGTGTTCCATTTGAATTTCAGTTTGAAAGCACTAGTTAACAAACCTGTAAGGCTTTAACACTAGAGTTGAGCGGACACCTGGATGTTCGGGTCCGGCAGGTTCAGCCGAACTTTGAAAAAAAGTCCGGGTTCGGGCTCGAACTTGACCCCGAACCCCATTGAATTCAATGGGGAGCAGAACTTTTGGCCACAAAAATCCCTCTAAAAAACTCCTGGAAAGGGCTAGAGAGCTGCAAAAGGAAGTAAAATGGGGGTAAGAGTAGGGAAATCACTTAAAAATAACATGAAAATTAAAAATACAGCTAATGGGAAATCAGGATTCATTCCGTACAGGGACCCTGAGAAACGGCTATCACATGCAAGGAAGGCAGCAGGCGCGCAAATGACCCACTCCCGACGCGGGAAGGTAGTGACGACAAATAACAATACAGGACTCTTTAGAGGCCCTGTAATTGTAATGAGTCTACTTGAAAACCTTTAACTCTGATCAATTGGAGGTAAGTCTGGTGCAGAACCACTGACCCATGCATGCTGCAGCTGAAACTCCACTATCGCCTGCTGCTGCTCGCACAGTCTCATGAGGCGGTGAGCGGGAAGGCCGAAGTTATGCTGCAGTGCAGACAGGCGAGCAGCAGCAGGGTGACAACGCCAAAAGCGCATACAGCTGCTACAGTGAATGTCACATCCTGTTCCAAGTTGCGGATCAGTCTTGTAACGGAGCGTTTTGCACACAAGGGGTAAAAAACGTTTAGGCGATCGTCCCCCTTTCCAGAGATACAGGCGCAGCTATTGTAAAGCACCAAACACACGAACCGCCAATAAGTGAATGCTCCAAACTCCTGAACGGCATCCAATATAGCACTCCAAACACACGAACAGGAACCATACGAATCGCTGCTAGCAGACAAATAGAAAAAGCATCCAAGTGGCTTACACTCCTAGCAATCAGTCTCTATCAGCATTCAGTAAATCCCCCCAAAGACGAGACAAGGCTCCGTGTTGAGGGTCAAGCAGTGGTCTGTTTAATGAGGGCTACCTGCCCAGTATTTATGCAGGTCTCCCACCTGGTGGACACTCCCCTAGGGGACCAAATGGGAGACTGTGACAAAGGACAGACAAGTAGACAAATAGGACACACAGTCACAGTATATTCCCACAATGCATCCTGGCTTCCTCCCCTCTGCCTTGGAGATAATTGAGAAGTAATTCAATTATCTCCCAAGACAAAGGCAAATTGCCATTATGCACGTGGGGATACTAAAATACAAATTACTGTTAAAATACACCATGTAAGACACATTACATTAAAACCATACATTTAACATATCCCCAGATAGCTCAGGTCTGAGCGCACATTATTAAGCGAATGGCGCTCAGACCACACGAATACAGTTTAATCGCCATGGAGCCAAAGTCTTTACACAGTCAGTTTCATGCGAATGGGCTCCATGGGATTCCTATCTGGGGTATAACATAGACAGTAAAACTACCGAACACCGGCCGTTCGTGTACTTCCACTGAACAAGAAGGGAGGTCGGCGGCTTCAGCGGTGTTCGCGCAAAACTGTGTCCGATGTTAGTTCCATGAATTAAGAGTTGAACACCACTGTGCATTCGCATGTTTAAAATGGCCGCGACCTCGTGTTCGTGATACGAATGGCGGCCACCCAGCAGTCGTCAATTAAGCTGTGGTTAACCGCAGCTTCAGGGAGGTTAATTGCCGGCACACTCTAGCTCCCAGGTGGTCTGGTCATTCGTGCGGTTGTTCGGTAGATTGAATCTACCGAACACCCGGCAGAAAAGCACGAATAAAGCTTTTCTGCAGGCGAAACAAAGTCGTTTAACATGGGGCCATAGTCCAAAGGCAGCAGGCGAGCAACCAGGCTTCTCCAATGCAATGTGGCGAGATTGCTCTCATCACAAGTCTGGTGATGGCTTCTGGTATCAAGTACTATTTTTACTGAAGCTGCATCAGGGTCCTGGTAGATGGCCGCACAAACGCTGGTGCTCAACATCAGGGGGCGTGCAGTTACCCTGCACCAGACCCTGCTAATCCATTCCACACTGTGACTCCTAACTTCAACATCAGGCATACTGGGTCCCGGTCGTCCGACCGCCTCACAGACAGTGTCTGGGTCCTGGTCACCGGACTGCCCACCTCACTGTGAAACTACGAATGGATCATTATATCTGGTACGATCCCGAACTTTGCAGTTCAGGTTAGCTCAAGTCTATTATGGATCCTTTGATCGCTACATGCATTACTTGGATAACTGGTAATTATCGAGCTAATACATGCCGACAAGCGCTAGGGGGCAGCTGCTCCGCTTTTGCACCCTGCTCCCTCTAATGCTGTGCTGGTGCCTCTGTGCGACCAGTGCCTCTTCCTCCAAACTGCACACGTCACTTGCATGACCTTGATTCCATGTGGGGTCTAGGACCTCATCATCCTCCACATCATCTTCCACCCACTCCTCAACCCTGCCCTCCTTGCCGGTCTGCACACTGCAGAAAGCCACAGCAGTTGGCACCTGTGTTTTCCCAGCATGTAAAGTCTGCAAAGGACATATAGAAATTGTTTTAGAATTTCCTCCAGGCAACAGTTTTCCCTATAAACTGACCACTCAGTTTGACTTGTGAGGGTATTGCCCCAGAATTACAATATTGTGTAAGTACCTCTTAGCTATTGATCACTGGTTTGAATATAGCAGCTTTTTATCTGGTAGTTTCTGGTATTACAAGTGACCGATGTAGTAAATTTGAATTAAAGTTACGCTTCGATTTGACTCTCAGATATGAATTGAACACCCCAAATATACTATTTAGCGCCAAAAAAAAAAAAAGAATGTACTTTTTAAAACTCCAATGTTAGCAGCAGATTAGCAGCAAAACAATTAGAATGTTTACAACTGCGCTGTAAGCACACTATTTGACGCTTCTATTTGACTCTCAGATATGAAGTACACTGCAGGCCCCAAAATGTACTATTTAGCAGATTAGTAGCAAAACAATTAGAATGTTTACAAGTGCGTAGAAAGCACACTATTAGACGCTTTGATTTGACTCTCAGATATGAAGAACAGGCCCCAAAATGTACTATTTAGCAGATTAGCAGCAAAACAATTGAAACTTGCGCACTACTTTTCCAACATGCTGATTCTATTGGCTATTGATAAATGACTTTTTTTTGCGCCAATATTTAACTTATTATGTACCTATATATACTCCTATCAGCCAGGTTTTTAATGTTATCCCATTTTGAAAAAGCCCCAGTGGCGAAACGCGTAAATGGTTTTATTAATTGTGTATTTTATATAATTTTTTTATATAATTAAAGAAGATTTTTTGGTTACTATCTGTGCCAACTATCTTTTTACACACTATTTTATTTATTTTCACCTGGCATCTAATTGATTTTACCACTTGCTTACAAGCCAATGTGAGGTGGGGATCATACCACCAACGCTGTTACCATAGTGCAGTTGGCCTGCACTACACTTAGTTGGACACCATTCCCTCCGGAGGACAATCATCCATATATCCCATAAGTGGGGATTTTTCCGCTGTACGCCTGTTATACCTGAGCTGGCTATAGCTCATTTAAATAGAAGAGACCCCATCACCAAAAGCACCTTGTAAGACATCTATTGCCACAATGCAACTTTTAAAATCTTTTTGGACTATTTTTGATATTTTATTTTATTTTATTTTGAACTTTTATAAATTTTATTTATATGTCTTTTTACTATTTGTAGTCCACATTGATACATTTTGACGCAGCCTTGCATTACTGTTGTTGTTGTTTTCCAAAACAATTAGAATGTTTACAAGTGCGCAGTAAGCTATTGATACTATTTGACGCTTCGATTTGACTCTCAGATATGAAGTGCACCCCACTAATGTACTTTTTAGCACTCAAAACATTTTAACTTTTAAAACTGCAATGTGACAGCAGTAATTGATGATTCTATTCGACTCTCAGATATGAAGTACACCCCACTAATTTACTATTTAGCATCAAAATAAAAATTACTTTTTAATACTCAGATGTAACCAGGGTATTTGAAGCTTCTATTTGACTCTCAGATATGAAGTGCACCCCACCCCACTAATGTACTAGTTTGCAGAATTCTTTCCTAAGCTGTTCCTATCAGCGGCAGCATCCTCTCCCTACACTAATAAGACCGCATGTGTGTGCGGACCTACGCGTCTCCAGCTTATATATAGAGGCTGGGTCACATGCTGCACTGGCCAATCACAGCGATTAGTAGGCATGGCTGTGTTGGCTTCTAAGGGCACACGAGTCAAACACTTGATTGGCTGCCCTGCAGCCTTTGAAAACGCGCCATTAAATCGCCGAACATCGAACTCCAAGCCGAACATACAGTGATATGTCCACGTTCGGGTCCGGGGTCCAAAAAAACCTAATGTTTGATACGAACCTGAACTTTTCAGTTCGGGTTCACTCAACTCTATTTAACACACAACAACTCACTGTGAGGCTATATTCACCATGACTTTGTACAAACATACACACGGAGATATTGTATATACATAGACACACACAGACATTCGCTCAGACACTGTATATACATAGACACACACAGACATTCAGACACTGTATATACATAGACACACACAAACATTTGCTCAGACACTCTATATACATATACACACAGAGACATTCACACAGACTCTGTATATACGTATACACACACAGACATTCACGACGACACTGTATATACATATAAAAACAAAAAACATAAATCTTAATACCGCACTCGAATGCATATATTATGCATATATCAAGAAAAAGTTGGATAATCAATATATAGGTACGCAAGAAAAAAATTCATTTATTGTACACCAGTTGTGTGTAATTCATGTAAATAGAACAAGACATGTCGTATAAATCAATGATATCTCCTATTGTAACAAATGAATGATTTCTAAATAAATTCATATATAATACACATAACAGGAATTCATAGTATATACACAAATCTACAACCACCAGTTGTGTGTAATTCAGAATAACCATAGACAAGTTGTGGAACTGCACTCAGCCCTTCACCTAGGGTGCTCTTGGATCAGTCCCAGTACCAAAGAGACCAGATATAGCATATGTTAGTAGAAAAGTAATCCAGGTACTCCAAAAGGTAGGCAATTTTATTGGACCCAAGAACAAAAATGTTACTTTTCGACCCTCCAGGGCCTTTATCAAGCTTGATAAAGGTCCTAAGGGGTCGAAACGTTTCATAGATAGATATGCAAGGACCCAAGAACCAAAATGCAATGTTTCGACCCTTTAGGGCCTTTATCTAAAGCTTGATAAAGCCCCTAAGGGGTCGAAACATTGCATTTTGGTTCTTGGGTCCAATAAAATTGACTATTCTTTGGAACATTTTAGAGTGC